GGTGCGTGTCCGGGATCCAAACCGGCGAACCCCTGGGCCACCGCATCGGAGTGCGGGCACTTAACCACTTGCGCCACCGGGCCGGCCCCTCCTTAGTCATTCTTAATGGAGGAGTGGAAGTGATGGTGTGTATGCTGTGCCCCATTAGGACAGGGTATATCAGAATTGAAAAAAGTTTCACTTTATCTTCTCCCCACTTCCTAATGGAGAATTACTATCCCATAGACTAAGATTTTTTCTTTTTTTTATGATAGATGGGTAGATATGTCTGTTCCTGGAAATGAGCTGGATTTTCTTAATTCAAGGAAGAATAACCATCATCATTGAAGTGATAGCTGCTGTTTATTGAGCATTTACTATCCTCCAGGCACTTACCAGCTGTTAGGAACTTTACCTATATATCACTTCCTTTAGTCCACACAACAACCCTAAGAAGTGGTATTATTTTCATTTTATAGTTGAGATAACCGAGGCTCAGAGGAAAACGAGAGTTCTTGGTCACACAGAAAAGCATCAGAGTCTAGCAGGGGAGAGGCATCCTTTGGAAATTGGTAGATTTAATTTGGAATTTCAATGAACCCCTCTCCTGTTACCTCAATGAAAACTAAGCAGAGTTTGCTTAGTTTTAAAATTTCTTAGACCATCAATAGGCCCGATGGCTGGGGGATGAATTCCTACTTAATTAAATCATATCACCAGAGAATGGAGGAGTGCCCTGAGACCCCCTTCCCTCACTTTCTGGGTAGGCCTTTAGTGACTGGGTACCACTGGATTACACAGGTAACTCTCCTCTGAAATTACTATCTACCACCAAACCTTAAGCTCACCCATCTCCAACTTCACTCAGTTGAGTCTCCTTTCTGCTTATCCACTTTATTCCATCAAAGACAAATTAAGCAGGAAAGAGGGACATGAATGTTTTGTAAACTGGCTGTACCTCGGTATTTTCTCAGCCCTATGCAGGTATGCAAGCCCACGCCTATTCTCAGGCATCAGCCGTCACCTCCCAGCTGCAGCCCGTTCGGCCCTTGTACCCAGCACCACTCTCTCAGTCTCCCCATTTTCAAGGTAGGCAGTTTTTCATCTTCTGCTCTTGCTGTGCT